TAATATATATATTGGGAGGGAGGGGGACACCCCCATATATGCTCAAAGACTCCCTACTGTTGGGAACCATTAGCTTAGGTTGAATCAGCAAATGTGGTGTCTATGTCTCTACAACAGGGACGCCCAGAGTGGGGGCTCTGGGCTAAAGTTGGTCTTCCAGGTGTTTCCAGTGATACAATTAAATGTTTATGCTATTTAATTTCCCTAATTGGGAAATTCTTGTTTTCACTTTTTACATATGCATACACATGTAGGCCCGGAATGCAATCATACACACAGGTCTTATGGACACAAATGTGGAGAGATGCGGTGTGGAGGGCCCTGGGAGTAGTTAGGGGTTCTGTGCCTCAGCAGTGCCCATGAGGTGAGCTGGTACCTCTCTAACCACCAGTCAACACTGGGGCTGCACCAAATTGTAAAAAAAATCATGTTGTGATTATTTTGACAAACACCTATTTTGATATTTTGATGAATTGTTCAGCCTTTTATGAGGTAAAAGTGCTCTTTCAATATGTAGGATCCCCAATTATGAATTATTTTTTGCAGTCTTAGCATGGCGGGCAGAGTGACACTTCTCTACACTGCTCTACAACCATTGCATGAGCAGTCACAAAACGTGTGTCTCCTGGTTTTCATTGTACAAACCACAGTTATGTACAATTCCACTAAGTACGTACTGATATAGAGTCTGACTCGTTCTTCTCAGGCTCAGGAGGACTGGTCATCATGACGCAGCAGGAGCAGCAGGAGTTCACCGAAAGCCTGGAGGCGGCCCTGTCATGGATGCGTGCCGTCCAGGAGAGGCTAAGGGCCAACGACAACACCCAGGGGCCCCGTGATGCTCTGGAGGCCCGACTCCGGGAGACAGAGGTGAGATTCCTACACTTACTGTTTGACCCTTGCTGTGACTTCAGTACTCTGACATTGGAGACCAGAGTGGAGACAGCTGCAGGGTCTGAAGGTCCTTTTTTCTTGTGACCAATTTATAATTACATTTCAAGGTAAATATTGCAGTCCAGTGCTTCTACAGTGTCTAAAGCACAAGTCCGAACCACTGCAACACAATATGAAAATAGTAGGCAGAGGGTTAGCAAAAACTAAAATAAAACTCAATCAGTATCTGAAAATGAGCGCAGCGCTTTCACAAATCCCACTCAAAGCAGAGGCTGGGGGAGGTGGGCCGTCCTCCTCTGATTAGAGGGCATTAACACGGTTTTTTAAAAATGTTGTGATGTGAAGTAGTCCCAAATGGTGCAATCTATCTCAGCATTGGATTTACAAGGCTCAGGGTGATTTCTAACAGTAGAGGGTGTGTTGAGAAATTTTCATCCAGCAAAATGTCACTATGAAAGTCAGTCATTAGTTTTACCATTTGACAGATGTTGAATCTACAGGTACATTATGTTTACATTTTGTATGGACTTACTCTGTGTGCCATGCTTTATGTGTAGAAAATTCATCAGTCGGAGCACGAGGGTCGTGTGAAGATGGACATGGCGCTGGTGGCAGCCGAGAACCTTTTGCAGAGCGGAGACGAAGAGCTGAGAAACCACACCCATGCTAAGCTCAAAGACCTGAAAAGCCTTTGGGAGGAGACCAGCACCTACATCATCCACTGCCACAGGTGCTGCACCTCAGGAATACACTGTGTGTTGGGATTTGCAGGTGTTTGGTTCATTAGCCCCGAGGGCGGCTTTGGCTGCATTCAGCCGTAATGCTCTGTTTTTAAAAGCTATGGATGTGTGTTTTCAGTTAATGGTCCACACCTGAACCAGCAATGAGTCTGAAAAGCCTTGTGCACACACAGCATTAACAGCCCAATAATAATACAAAAAATCAAATAATAAAGAATAATGTAAGATTTAATTAGTATCACAATGACACTTACAGATCACATGTTAAAAGATTAAGGCTTCAGAATGTGTAATAATAGTGAAAAAGGCATCATTTTCCCAGACATCTTAGAATTAGCTTTCTTTGTACAAACAGCAGTCCAAAACCCAAAGACATTCAGCTCATAATGATATAAAAACAAAAAACAGCAAATCCTCTCACTGAAGAAGCCACAGAGTATCTGGTTCATTATTTTTCTTGATAAATGACTTTAAGTCCGTTTTTCTTATTGTTCCTATGGTGGGATGTTTGGGCATCTCTAGGGGGTCTTTAGGAAATTCATTGATTGACTAACTGATTAGTTTACTAATGCTTTCCGCGATGTATGTATCACATCACAAGTTTTAGAAGGACATAAAATGATTGAAAACCAGTTTCCATTTTGAAGCATCTTCATATATAGAAACAATGTAATGGCTGTAATAATTCTAGATTTTGATTATAATTATAATAACTCATACAAAGTGGATTGGTGCATGTCTGCTTGAAATATTTAGTGTTTTTAATAACATCAGTGTGTGAGCTAGCTGAATGGGAGCGTTATGGGTGTGTTGGGTGCGGCTGTGGCTCAGAGGCAGAGTGGGTCGTCCCCCAATCGGAAGGTTGTTGGTTCGATCCCCGGCTCCTCCTGTCACGTGTCGAAGTATCCTTGAGCAAGATACTGAGGTCTGAACCCAAATTTGGCTCCTGATGCTGCATCGTGTGTGATGTATGAATGTTATGAATGAGTTAGTTTCTGTTCGATGGACTTTGCCATCACCTGAGTGAATGTGTGTGAAAGGGTGAATGTGGCACGTAGTGTAAAAGTTTGAGTGGTCGGAAGACTAGAAAGGCACTATAAAAGTACGGTCACCATTTACCATTTACCATTTATCAGGCACTTGTCACTGTGTTGTTGACACATCTGGTTTGCACAACATCTGAGGTTAATTGACAAACAGCTGGTGGCTTATGATTGTATGTTAATGTTAGCTGCTTTGCTCAGCTCAGCAAATAATTGGCTATTTTGTTAAAAAGGTGACTAAGTAGGAAAGGAAATAAGACCCAGTTTGTATAAGAACTGTGGGTGCTCTGGCTTAGAAGGTAGAGCGGGTCGCCCACTAATCAGCAAGTTGGTTGTTCGATCCCCAGCTCATCCCTCTGCATGTTTCTGATGAGCAGTTGGCACCTTGCATGGCAGCAATCAGTGTGGCAGCAATGGATGAATGTGACATGTAGTGTAAAGTGCTTTGAGCGGTCACAGTGGCTGCTTTTAAAATATGAATAAATTCAAATTCAAATTAGGGCTGCATGATATGGGGGGGAAAAAAATACATTGCGATTATTTTGATAGATGATACAATAGTGGAAATGATTATTTAATGAAATGATTAATGATAAGTGACATTTGTTGGTCTTGGTAGACAGAACAAAGATGTTCTCTTACATCTAAAGAAAAAGATTTGTAGGCCAGACCATCTCTGCAGCACTACAGTACTTCATTATAATGCTGTTTGTCACACATTTGACCTCTATCCAACAGTTTCTTTTCAGTTTTTTGAAGTTAGAATCTTGGACACACATTGTGATTTAGATAATATTTCAGTTAATTGTGTTGCCCTACTACTGACTTGTATTAAAAACATACAGAGTTAAAACATATTCATATGTAGTAGTTAACTGTTCTTCATGTGTTCCGCCTCACGCCTAGCCGAATCGAGTGGGTGTGGCTCCACTGGAGCGAGTATCTAAAGGCCTACGAGGAGTTTGAGCTGTGGCTGACGAGGCAGCAGCGCAGCCTGGACGTCAGGGTGGAGCTTCAGCTGGGGGTGAAGGAGAAGCTCTGGCAAGTGGACCAGCAGAGGGTGGTGGTTAGCGACATTCAAGGCCAGGCCACGCTGCTCGAGAGGCTGCTGGACGAGGCCGCTGCACTACACAACAGGACCCAGGACCCTAGTGTGGAGCCCCAGGCCCAGGAGAGGCTGCAGGAGGCCTATAACAGTGTCAGGGACAGAGCTGAGGTGAGGAGCTTATTTATATGGTCAGACTCTACTGCAAGGTGTGCGTATGCTCAGAGGCATTGAAATAGATTTATGGATCTTGCAGTCCTGTAGTTTTGTGTTGTCAGTTGTAACCTATAACATATTCAAAAAGACATAATCCAGGGTTCCCAAGAGTCCTGCAAATACTGGAAAACATGGACATTTCCAGTCGTAAAAACAGCTGGAAATTTGATTAAAATTTCCAAAAATGCAGGAAATAATTTATGTTGTCCAGGAAATGTTTCATTGTATTTTACCCCCTTACTTGCCTACATAAACCTGGGCACCTATTTTGTTTGAAACTTGACTGTTCTTAGGATAAGCTGCATGAAAACTGGAGTTAAACGTGTCAATACTCTTCTTCTTATTATGATTATATCATACCCTGATAATCAAGGTCATATGCTTTTGTGCTTCCTGGGTTAAAGTCATCCTGTTTTAAACATCAGCCAGCAAAAACAGATCTGCTTGCTCATGCATGAGTTATGAAAATAAAAGCTGAAACTAGTTATTAGAATTGTGTGCACATCACTGCCTCAAGACTGCATCCATTGAAATGTACAGTACATTGCGTTTCGGCTGGATTGCACACATCTTGGTATACTGCCGAGTTATTACATGTAACAATAGGTTTTATTACTGATTAATCTTGTGATTATTTATTTGGTTAAATGATTAATGATTTAGTCATTTAAATGTCAGAAAATATTGAAAAATGCCCATCACAACATCACAATGACTTCTTCATGATAAAACAGTTTGTTTACTTAACCTGACTGCGAGTCGTCGTTGGAAACTGTTAATACTCGCTACATGATTAAATGAACCACCTGTCTATCACCGTCTATCACAGGCGAACCAATCAGATCAATGAAACATATAACGTAGTTAACTCTTACTAAAGTCAGTAAGAATCAGAATCAGAATTAGGTTTATTGCCAGGTAAGTTTTTACACATTAGGGCTTTGACTCCGAACTTCGTTATTCGAATATAATTCGAATATTTACAAAAATAAAGATATTCGAACGAATATTAGGCAGCCCTTAATATTCGAACCTGTTATGGGCATTATTTTTTGTAAATGTGTTTGCTTGTAAACGTTGTTTTCAATTCAGATTCCGAGGCTTTTTCACGCCTGGTGAAGTTGTGAATCGCGAGCTCATTAGCAAGGCT